CAACTACCTGGACCAGTCACAGTCAAGTTTCAGGCCTGGCCATGGCACAGAGACGGCTTTGGTCGCCTTGGTGAATGACAGGGGGAGTGTGACCCTGTTGGTTCTCTTGTCTTGTCGGGATTAATCTCATGGTATCCTTCTGGGACGCCTCTCCGGGATGGGCCTTGGGGGTACGGCTCTGTCGTGGCTCCGGTCCTTCCTGGAGGGCCGATCCCAGATGGTGAAGCTGGGAGACGCCTGCTCGGACCCCTGGCCTTTGACCTGTGGGGACCCGCAAGGCTCCATTCTGTCTCCCATGCTTTTTAACATCTACATGAAACCGCTGGGCGAGGTCATCCGGGGTTTTGGAGCTGGGTGCCATCTCTATGCAGATGACACACAACTCTACTACTCTTTTCCACCTAACTCCAAGGAAGCCCCTCGAGTGCTAGACGAGTGTCTGGCCGCTGTGGCTGTCTGGATGAGGATGAACAAGCTGAAGATTAATCCCGACAAGACAGAGGTTCTCTTGGTCGATCGTAAACCAGCCCGGGGTATAGGGCGGCAACCTGTGCTAGACGGGTTTGCACTCTCCCTGAAGTCACAGGTCCGCAGTCTGGGGGTCCTCCTGGATTCTTCACTTACGTTTGAGGCTCAGGCGTCGGTGGTGGCCGGGAGGGCCTTTGCACAACTAAGACTCGTGCGCCAACTGCGACCGTACCTCGGGAAGGCSGATCTGGCCAAGGTGGTCCATGCCTTAGTCACCTCTAGACTGGATTACTGCAATGCGGTCTACATGGGGCTGCCCTTGAAAATGGCCCGGAAATTTCAGATGATCCAACAGGCGGCAGCCAGGTTGTTAACTGGGGCTCCTTACAGAGAGGTCATCCCTCCTGTTTAAGGAGCTCCACAGGCTGCCTTTCATCTACTGGACCCAATTCAAGGTGCAGGTTCTTGCCTACAAAGCCCTGAATGTTTTGGGCCCCGCCTACCTGCGTGACCGTATCTCTGTATATGAACCCACACGATCTCTTTGATCTTCTGGGGAGGCCCTGCTCTCGAGCCCACCAGCATCGCAGGTGCGGTTGGTGGGGATGAGAGAGAGGGGCGATGGCCCCTCGACTCTGGAACTCACTCCCTAAAGACATCAGACAGGCTCCAACCTTGGCAGTCTTCAGGAGGAACTTGAAGACGTGGCTGTTCCAGTGTGCCTTCCCAGAATAATGATCCCATAGCACTTTGTTCTCCAAAGCACTTTATATTTTCTGGGTCTGCTCGTATGCCCTTCCATAAACACCTGCACCATCCTCCGTCCATGTCCCAGCATATTTCCAATTTTAACTTTACATTTGGCCTCCCCTCTGTTTTTGATTGTGTGTTTGATTATTGATAATGTTGTTTATCTTATTGTTTATGTTTTTAAATTGCTTGTATTGTGGTTTTATTGCTTGTATTGTTGTGTTCGGGCTTGGCCTCAAGTAAGCCGCACCAAGTCCCTTGGGGAGATGGTAGCGGGGTACAAATAAAGTTAATAATCATAATAATAATACTGCAAGTCGCTTCTGGTGTGAGAGAATTTGACGTCTACAAAGACATTGCCCAGGGAATGCCCAAATGTGTTCCCATCCTGCTGGGAGGCTTCTCTCATGTCACCGCACGGGGAAGCTAGGGCTGACAGATGGGAGCTCTCTCTGTCTCGTGGAGTCAAACCGCAATGTACCTATTGAAACAGTTAGACCAGTGTTTCTCAACCTTCCTAATGCCGCGACCCCTTAATACAGTTCCTCATGTTGTGGTGACCCACAACCATAAAATTATTTTAGTTGCCACTTCATAACTGTAATTTTGCTACTGTTATGAATCATAATTTAAATATCTGATATGCAGGATGTATTTTCATTGTTACAAATTGAACATAATTAAAGCATAGTGATTAATCACAAAAATCAATATGTTTGGGGGAGTATGGACAATGGATGATGGGATTTGCAATACTTTCAACCGATACAGCTCTGTCTTCCACAGATCACTGCCACCCCCCCCCCAAATGAATGACAGATCTGGACCAGATTTGGCAAAAAGAACCTCAATGACCAACAGAAAATACTGGCGGGGGGGGGGGGGTTGGGAGGAATTCACAGTGATTTAATAATAATAGGATCCTAGACTTGCAAGAGACCTCCAAAAGCCATCCAGTCCAACCCCCTCCTGTCATAAAGGAACACAATTAAAGCCCTCTCAACAAATGGCCACTCAGCCTCTGCTTAACAACAATAGAATCGTAAGGTGGGAGAGACATCCAAAGGCTATCCAATCCAACCTCATTCTTGCATAAGGGAATGCACAATCAAAGCACTCTTGACAGATGGCCAGTCTGCTTCTGCTTAATGATGATGATGATAATAATTGTAATAATAGAATCCTAAAGTGGGAAGAGACTTCCATGGGCCATTCAGTCTAACCCCCTTCTGCCATAAGGGAAAGACACAATCAAAGTACACCTGACAGATGGTCAGTCTGCCTCTGCTTGATGATGATAATAGAAGGAAGGGTGGGAGGAAGAGGAAAGGAAGGGAGGGAGGGAGGGAGGGAGGGAGGGAGGGAGGAAAAGTTGGAAAGGAAGGAGGGACAGGAAGGATGGAAAAAGGAAGGGAGGGAGGGAGGGAAGGAAGGAGGGAAAGTAGGAAAGGAAGGAGAGAAAGGAGAGAAGGGAGGAGGGAGGGAAGGAAAGGGAGGAAGACGGAAATGAAGGGAGGGAAGGAGGGAAAGAAGGAAAGGAAGAAGGAGGGACAGGAAGGAAGGAAAAAGGAAGGAAGGGAAAGAAGGGAGGGAGGGAAAGAAGGAAAGGAAGAGGGACAGGAAGGAAGGGAAGGAAGGAAAGAAGGAGGGAAAGGAAGGAAGGAAGGAAGGAAGGAAGGAAGGAAGGAAGGAAAGGAAAAGAAGGGGAAGGAAGGAAAGGGAGGAAGACGGAATGGAATGAAGAGAGGGAAGCAAGGTCCTTCACTCGGAAGCACCGTCCTCTCGCGTGAAGCTGCTTCCCGGTCTGGCTGTTAATAGGAGGGGGGGGGGGGGGAGTGTGTGTGTGTGTGTGTGAGCGTGCTTTGCCGGGGGCAGCCAAGCAAATCAGGGAGAAGAGGGAGGAAACAAAGGAGTTGGAGGAGAAGGAAGGGAGCAGGACTTCAAAACTAAAATTTATTTCTGCCTCTTTCTTTTCTCCCTTCCTGCAGTGAAGGGAGGGAGGCAAGAGTTTGAGAAAAGGGGTGCAATCTCTCTCCCGCCCCCCCCTCCCTCCTGCCTGCTGCTTCCTCCGGGACAAGGAGGAAGAGGAGGAGGAGGCGAGGAAAGCCGGGGAATGGGGAAGCTGAAAAGAAAGAAGGCTGCTTCTGATGGCAGCAGGTGGCGGAGGGACTTTAGGAGCCCTTCAACCAGCGCCAGTCCCTTCTTCTCTCCGCTGCAGCTGCAGGGTGCTTTCCCATCTCGCGCCAGGCAAAGGATAGGCCACTCACTAGGCCTCGCCTTCCCTTGCCTGGCCACTGGTAGGAAAGAAGCCTTGCAGCCCTCGGGCAACTAAGGCTGCAGTGCCCACCCGCCAAACAGGCGGGAAGGCATCCCGTGGCAACGGTAGACAGAACAAGGGGCTGGGTGAGCGAGGCCTGCTCGGAAAGCACCTCCTGCCTGCTTTGCGCCAAGCCCACCAAAGCCGACAGCTGCATGGCTCCCTTCCCGCTGGTGCCCCGGCAAGGGAAGGCGAGGCCTGGTGAGCACGAGGAATGGCAGGCAAGCCATCCCCCAAGGGGCCACTGGGGGGGGGGCTTGCTGGGAGGCCAGAAGACACGTCACACTCCCTCCCCCAAGCCCCATGTGCGGACTAAGGGACGTCCTTCTCTTTCAGGCATGGGTGTTTGCTGGCTCTTTGGCTGCCAGAGGTTTCCCGGCAGCCATTCCAGGGACACAAAGGGGGCGGGGCCAAACGAGGCAGTCCCGCGACCCCTCAAAATTTGCCAGGCGACCCCTCGGGGGGTCGCGACCCCCAGGTTGAGAACCACTGGTTTAACCCATTGCACCAGTCCTGCTAAAATAATACAATTGCAGCAACACAGTCGGAGTAACAATGAACCCAAGTTAAGGTCAGGAGTCCAATTGTAGAGCACTGCAGATCCCAGTCAGGAGCAAGAAGAAAGGTTACAGTCCAAGAGTCACATGCCAGGAGTTCATACAACAGAGCTAATAAAATAACAAGCGGGAAATCAAGAGTACAAAGCGAATTCAGAGTCCCAAAGTCAAGCCAGAAAGTCAGGGATACAAACAAAGTCCTGGTTCATAAATGAAACCAGAAGTCAGTCCAGAATGTATAATCAACTATTCAGGACATAACAAAGTCCAGAAAAGGGTGACAGGTACATGGCTAGAGGTCAAAATTTTAACCGAGGGGCAACAGAGCCAAGACGGGAGACGAGGGTATGAAGAGATGACATCATCTGCTACGAAAGAGCTCTTCTTTTTCAGAACCCTTTTCTCCAGAGATTTCAGCTGCTGCTCCTTTCAGCAAACCTCCACAGATCACCCTAGAAGCCTGTGATGGGTTTCTTATGGAGGCGGCTAGGGGAACCCCTTCGGAGCTTGCTGCAATACGGAGAAAAATCCCCTTCTAAGTGAGACCTGCTTCCAGTAGCCGTCGACCAAGGCCACACAAACTAGTCCATAGGAGAGAGAGAGAGAGAGAGAGAGAGAGAGAGAGAGAGCCAGGTGCCAGCCTTCCTCTTTCCTTCCAATATTTTTTGAAAGAGAGCTCAGAAACTGAAAGGCAGGTCTCCTCTAGTGGCGCATGAGTTCAGTGATGTTTATTGTATGCTGAACATCCTTTAAAGCTCTTCCCACATTCCGTGCATTTATATGGCTTCTCTACTATGTGGCTCCTTTGAAAGCAATGTAGATAGATTTGGAAGGAATCTAGATAGCTACTCTGCCTGAAACTTTCTCCACATTCTATGCACTTCTATGGCTTTTCTACTGTGTGAGACAATTGGTGGGAACGTAGATTGCCACTCTGACTGAAGCTCTTTCCACATTCCATGCATTTATGTGGCTTCTCCCCTGTGTGGATCCTTTGATGGGAACGTAGATTGCCACTGCCACTAAAGCTTTCTCCGCATTCCATGCATTTATATGGCTTCTCCCCTGTGTGCGTCCTTTGATGGGCACGCAGATTGCTACTGTGACTGAAACTCTTTCCACATTCCATGCATTTATGTGGCTTCTCCCCTGTGTGCTTACTTAGATGGGACCGTAGATGGCCACTCCGACTGAAGCTCTTTCCACATTCCATGCATTTATGTGGTTTTTCCCCTGTGTGGATCCTTTGATGGGACCGTAGACAGTCACTCCGACTGAAGCTTTCTCCACATTCCATGCATTTATGTGGCTTCTCCCCTGTGTGGATCCTTTGATGGATATGCAGATTTGAACTCTGACTGAAACTCTTTCCACATTCCATGCATTGATATGGCTTTTCCCCTGTGTGGGTCCTTTGATGGGTACGTAGATTGCTACTCCGACTGAAGCTTTCTCCACATTCCATGCATTTATGTGGTTTTTCCCCTGTGTGTGTCCTTTGATGGGAACGTAGATGGCCACTCCAACTGAAGCTTTCTCCACATTCCATGCATTTATGTGGCTTCTCCCCTGTGTGCGTCCTTTGATGGGAACGTAGAGTGCCACTCCGACTAAAGCTCTTTCCACATTCCATGCATTTATGTGGCTTCTCCCCTGTGTGCGTCCTTTGATGGGAACGTAGATGGTCACTCCGACTGAAGCTCTTTCCACATTCCATGCATTTATATGGCTTCTCCCCTGTGTGTGTCTTTTGATGGGAACATAGATGGCCACTCTCACTGAAGCTTTCTCCATGTTCCATACATTTATATGGCTTCTCCCCTGTGTGCGTCCTTTGATGGGAACGTAGAGTGCCTTTCTCACTGAAGCTTTCTCCACATTCCATACATTTATATGGCTTCTCTCCTGTGTGTGTCCTTTGATGAGCACGCAGACTGCCACTCTGACAGAAGCTCTTTCCACATTCCATACATTTATGTGGCTTCTCCCCTGTATGTATCCTTTTATGGGCACGCAGATTGCTACTCTGACTGAAGCTCTTTCCACATTCCATGCATTGATATGGCTTCTCCCCTGTGTGGATCCTTTGATGGGAACACAGACTATCACTACGACTGAAGCTTTCTCCACATTCCACGCATCTATGTGGCTTCTCCCCTGTGTGGATCCTTTGATGGGAACGTAGATGGCCACTCTGACTGAAGCTTTCTCCACATTCTATGCATTTATGCGGCTTCTCCCCTGTGTGGATCCTCTGATGGGAATGTAGAGCACCACTCTGACTGAAGCTCTTTCCACATTCCATGCATTGATATGGCTTCTCCCCTGTGTGCGTCCGTTCATGTACAGTAAGAGAACTTTCCCAATCAAATTGTTTTCCACACTCAATACACTGATGTAACTTCTCCCCTGTGTCTGATCTAGGATAGGGAGGTAGAGTGCTTGCCATTCTTTTACATTTATAATTCAAATATGATGCCAGGGGTTCAGGGATATAACCTCGTGAACAGCAGTTTTTGTATCGCTGTAGCCTTCTGCTTGGTTTCCCAAGCCTCTCTTTTTACAGCAAAATCTTATTTCCCCCCTTAACAGCACAGTTATGTAGCCTCAAATATATTTTTCTGGTACTTATTTTTTCTTGTTGTCATTGCTGTGTATCTTGAAGTCACTTTAGACTTTAGCACTCCTCAGGCAACGCTCTCACAAGGCGTTCTTCGCAGAACTTGTTCCGAAGTTACCTGCCAGAGAAATGAGAGGAAAATATCTTCAGGAGTTGAACAGGGAAAGATCTCATGGAACATGAAGAGGAAATCTAGTGCTGTAGCAAACCAAGAGGAAGAGGGACGGTGCCCAGTACCACGTGACAAATACTTTAACACTTTCTCAACAATAACAATTCTTCCTCAGGTACAAATGGGACGGTGCCCCAAGATTGTCTGTGTGCGATTTCTTACACTGCAAGGTGTTCAGGGAGGGGCCCCTATAATTCTCAGCCGAGGGGTCCTGGGCTTCTCTCAACTACAAACTCTAGAATCCTGCAGGAAACAGACACAGGATTTCCAAGGGGAAGCAGGCTTTTCTCCTCTTTGAAAAGCCATACACTTAACTTTTCTGAGGCTGCAGGGATGCTTCCTCCGCGTGGCTTTTTGGGCCTTCTCCTTTTGAGTCCACCCTCCCCTCCTTTGTTTGCATGCCCCCTCTGCCCTCCTCCTCCTGCCTCCAGAAGGCACTGATATCCTTCCCGCCCTTCCTTTGCTCATGAATGGGGAGCGGTGGATGTGTTGCAGCCACCCCAGGCTTCATGTATTACCTCTAACTCCAAAGTGTGATGTGTCTGTTTTGAAAAATGTGTTTCTTAAAAACATGAGCTTGTGTTCCCAAAACACAATTGTTCAGGTTTTACTATTTTAATCTTTTCTTATTAATGTTTTATGAGTTGTAATTCATTTTAAAGGAAAGGCATGATAATGCAGACCTGGAGACTGGAATTGCATTACCGTCTGCACCAGGTGGGCTTTGGAGAGGAGGGCAGCACATCATGGGGAGATGGCAGATGAGGAGGCCCTCTTAGTTTCCATGGGTGCTCATACTTATACAGACTTCATTTCCATGKAACATTGCTTTTATCTGCACCCTCTCTTTTTATACATCATTTCCTTTAAAAGGGGGGGAAAGGAAAACAGAAAAATGGGGGGGGGGGRGGGGGGAAGGAAAATAGGTGACCTCCGGTCTCTTCCAATCTAATAACGAAGAAAGCTAATATGATACGCCTCACCCTCTAGACTTCTCCGTATTTCYTCTTTTCTCATATTACAATTATATTTTCTTTTAAAATCTTTATTCCCAAAATCTTTTCCTCACCTGTTATCTCTCTTAAGAATACTTTAAGAACTCATATAAATAGAAGAGGTGAGAGCGGGCATCCCTGCGTGGTCCCTTTTTGAATTTCACACGGCTTACCTAGGCTTCCATTTGCAATCCCTCGTGCCGTCTGTCTAGTGCAGTGGCTCCCAACCTTTTTTTGGCCAGGGACCACTCTCCAACATTAGTACCAAAAGGGTTACAAACCAGTTTTTGGTCAACATTAGATTTGGTTTGGCGATTTAGGGTGTTGATTCAGAAAATTGTACTGGAGAGAACACATCAGCTCTACTTTCTGATGCAGAACATATGCCATCCAGTATTCGCCATCTGCTAGTCACAAGAAATACAATATGTAGATTTGATATATGGTTTGAATGGAATTGAAGGAAAGAATGAATGAGTGAGTTAATAACTTTAAGGCCCACAATGACTAAATCATTAACTACCTTGGGCAATAGACACGATGGCTCTGGAACGTCCCCTCTCAAGAAGCTGAGCTAAACCTGCTCCTTGGTTCAACGAGGATCTGGCAGCGATGAAGCGAATGAAGAGGAGACTCGAGTGCGTGTGGCGTTCAGAGCCTAGTGAGTCAAATCCACAAGATATAAATACTAAACTGAATCAAATACAGAATTCTGAAAACCGAATTGGTTGAACCTGGATCTCTCTTCTCTTCGCTCTTCAAGGGGCTCAAAATGGGGGACACATTTCAGGAACTCAAGGAAAGGGATCGTTCCCAGAGCGAAGCGCAAACAAGGCTGATTGATGTCAAAGCATCCAAAAATTATTCTGCAAGTCGTTCATGCAATTTGACAGCCCAAACCTCCTCCAAACTCTCAAAACATAGTGTGTGACTAGCACCATGCAAGTGCCCAGCTTTTCCTTGACACACACACACATACACACATCTATCTATGAATATGTTTGTTTGAAGGGAGGGAGGAGAGAGAGAAGGGAAGAAAGGGAGGAAGGGCAGAAGGAAGAGCGGAAGGGAGGGAGGAGGAGCAGAATTGTGGAAGGCAGGCAGGGATGAAGGAAGGGAAGAAAGAAGGGAGGGAGGGAAGAATGAAGTAAGGAAGGAGGGAGAGAAGGAAGAAAGGGAGGAAGGAAAGGAGTTGCCAATGACACAGACAGTGCAAGCCTCGGTCGCAGAAGAGCTGACATCTGTAAAGCACATCTGTGAAGGGAGGAAGGAAGGGATGAAGGCAGGAATGAAGCAAGGAAAGAGGGAGAGAAGGAAGGAGCAAGGAAGGAAGAGCGGAAGGAAGGGATGAAGGGAGGAATTAAGTAAGGAAGGGAGGAGAGAATGAAGAAAGGGAGGGAGGGAAGGAAGAAGAAAGGGAGGGAGAGAAGGGAAGTAAGGGATGAAGGGAGGAATGAAGTAAGGAAGGGGGGAGAGAATGAAGAAAGGGAGGGAGGGAGAGAAGGAAGAAAGGGATCAAGGAAGGGATCAAGGAAGGAACAGCGGCAGTAAGAGAGGAAGGGTGGGATGAAGGGAGGAATGCAGTAAGGAAGGGACGAGGAAGGGAGGGAGGGAGTTAGAGAAGGGAAGAAAGGGATGAAGGGAGCAAGGAAGGAAGAACGGAAGAGAGGAAGAAAGAGATGAAGGGAGGAAAGATGTAAGGTGGGAGGGAGAGAAGGGAAGAAAGGGATGAAGGGAGCAAGGAAGAAAGAGCAGAAGGGAGGGAGGAATGACGTAAGGAAGCGGGAGAGAAGGAAGGAAAGAGGGAGGGAGGTGCCAATGACACAAACAGGGCACCTGGCATCCCTAAAGCACACTTTGGAAGGAAATAAGCACATTTCAAAACATAGCATGTGACCAGCCCCATTCAAGTGCCCTGATTTTCCTTGGCACACACACAGACATCTGTCTATATATGAATATGTTTGTTTGAAGGGAGGGAGGAGAGAGAAAGGAAGAGCGGAAGGAAGGGATGTGTCACAAGAAATTCAATGTGCAGATTTGACAAATATGAATTTAATATGATGTGTGTGAATGAATGGAGGGATGTATGAATGGAGCTAATAATTTTGGAGACACCTGTATAATATTAAGGCCTGCAATGACTAACTGCAATGACAAGTCAAACCCGCATTTTGGACTTTAGGAGAGCTGATTTCCAAAAAATGAAGGAAACGCTGAGCAGCATTCCGTGGACACAGATACTAAAAGACAAGGGAGTTACGGATGGATGGGAATTTCTCAAGAGTGAAATACTCAAGGCGCAATTGCAAACCGTGCCAACAAAGACAAAAAATAGGACAAGTGCAAAGAAGCCAGAATGGATGTCCAAAGAACTTCTAACTGTGCTAAGACACAAAAGAGACATGCACAAGAAGTGGAAAAAGGGAGAAATCACCAAAGAAGAATTCAAACAAATAGCCAACACCTGTAGGGAAAAGTTCCGCAAGGCTAAAGCAAAAAACGAGCTCAGACTTGCCAGGGACATTAAAAACAATAAAAAGGGCTTCTTTTCTTATGTCAGTAGAAAAAGGAAAAACAAGGAAGCGATAGGGCCTCTTCGAGGAGAAGATGGGGCAATGCTGACAGGGGATAGGGAAAAGGCAGAACTACTTAATGCCTTCTTTGCCTCGGTCTTCTCACAAAAAGAGAGTCTTCAACCACAGCAAGATGGAGTGGATGAGGGATTGGAGGACATCCAACCCCAAATTGGGAAAGAAGTCGTCCAGGAATACCTGGCCGCTCTTAATGAGTTCAAGTCCCCAGGGCCAGATCAACTACACCCAAGAGTATGGAAGGAACTAGCGGAAGTCATTTCGGAACCATTGGCAACCATCTTTGAGAGTTCTTGGAGAACGGGAGAAGTTCCAGCAGATTGGAGGAGGGCCAATGTGGTCCCAATCTTCAAGAAGGGAAAAAAGGATGACCCAAACAACTACAGTCCGGTCAGCCTCACGTCGATACCGGGCAAGATTCTGGAAAAGATTGTTAAGGAAGCGGTCTGCAAACACTTAGAAACAAATGCAGTCATCGCTAATAGTCAACATGGATTTATCAAAAACAAGTCATGCCAGACTAATCTGATCTCTTTCTTCGATAGAGCTACAAGCTGGGTAGATACGGGGAATGCCGTGGATGTAGCGTACCTGGATTTCAGTAAGGCCTTCGACAAGGTCCCCCATGACCTTCTGGCAAGGAAACTAGTCCAATGTGGGCTAGGCAAAACTACGGTGAGGTGGATCTGTAATTGGTTAAGTGGACGAACACAGCGAGTGCTCACTAATGCTTCCTCTTCATCTTGGAAAGAAGTGACAAGTGGAGTGCCGCAGGATTCCGTCCTGGGCCCGGTCCTGTTCAACATCTTTATTAATGACTTAGATGAAGGGCTAGAAGGCATGATCATCAAGTTTGCAGTTGACACCAAATTGGGAGGGATAGCCAATACTCCAGAGGACAGGAGCAGAATTCAAAACAATCTCAACAGATTAGAGAGATGGGCCAAAACTAACAAAAATGAAGTTCAGCAGGGACAAATGCAAGATACTCCACTTAGGCAGAAAAAACGAAATGCAAAGATACAGAATGGGGGATGCCTGGCTTGAGAGCAGTATGTGTGAAAAAGATCTTGGAGTCCTCGTGGACAACAAGTTAAACATGAGCCAACAATGTGATGTGGCGGCAAAAAAGCCAATGGGATTTTGGCCTGCATCAATAGGAGCATAGTGTCTAGATCAGGGAAGTAATGCTACCCCTCTATTCTGCCTTGGTTAGACCACACCTGGAATATTGTGTCCAATTCTGGGCACCACAATTGAAGAGAGATATTGACAAGCTGGAATGTGTCTAGAGGAGGGCGACTAAAATGATCAAGGGTCTGGAGAACAAGCCCTATGAGGAGCGGCTTAAGGAGCTGGGCATGTTTAGCCTGAAGAAGAGAAGGCTGAGAGGAGATATGATAGCCATGTATAAATATGTG